GTTTTGCAGAGGACCGGAGAGAGGACGTGGGGCCCCAGCCGATGGCCGGGAGGATGGAGACCCCAGCGACCGGTGACCTGGCGACCTGGTGACCCGGAGGCCCAGCTGAGGAGATGCAGCCGGTTCTGGACAGTGGGAGGACAATGGGCTGCAGAGTGAGGACCCAGTGACCGAACCAGCCGGTTCCAGCCAGAGGACAGAAGCGAGGAGAGGAGGCCCCGGTTTACAACCCTGTTTACCTGGAGAGAAGACAATGGACAGAGGCGGGGCCTGGGGCCGGGGATCTCAGATGCCCAGCTGGGAGCAGGGGGCTCTGGGCTGAAGAGCGGGAGCAGGCAGAGCCCACCTGGATGCAGGGAGACTGGGATGTGCTGGGCTGAGGGAGGCCAGGCCTGAGGCCCTGAGAGTTTCCTGTGCTGGGTTCAACTCTCAATAAACCCTCCTGTTTCATGCTGGCTGAGAGTCACTCTGGTCTAGAGAACAGGGTTGCATCAAGCCCTTCGGGGGTGGAGGCCCCGGGGCTCCAGAGCGAGGGGACTCCCTGAGGGGGCCCACGGCAGAGACAGACGTGCTAAGGCTCGGAGAGGTGCGGATCCAGGAGGTGGAGGGGCCTGACCCCGAGAGAGAGTGGACCCCCGAGAAGGGCTGTCGCACTGAAAGGGGCTCCCCCCACGGACTGCACGGGGCCAAGAGTGGGCCCGATCTGTGAGTCCGTGACACATGGGGCTCTGACCCGGCGCTGCTGGATGACGCTGCTTGTCGGCGGCATTTCGGCGGATGCTCATCCGCCACCACGGTCATCCGTGGCTCGTCGTCTGGCGCCCGCCAGATGAAAAAGATTGGGGACCACTGATCTACTTGCTTTTCCTGATGACTTGACGCCCTTGAAGAGGCAGAGGAAGACGACGACCCAGGAGATGCCCAGGCAGCCCAGCAGGGGGAGCCGCACCTCGCCCAGGTTCCCGATGTCGTCCGAGAGCCTCAGCACGTACCGCCTGCCCCACGGGGACAGAGAGCGTGAGACACCAGCTGCACCAGCCCCCCCTCTGCCCCGGAGACCCTGCTCTGCTCCAGAGCCCCGCCCCTCTGCTCCAGAGCCCCGCCCCTCTGCTCCAGAGCCCCGCCTCTCTGCTACAGAGTCCCCGTCTGTGTGCCCCGGAGCCCCACCCCTTTGCCTGGAGCCCCACCCCTTTGCCTGGAGCCCCACCCCTCTGCCCCAGAGCTCTGCCCCTCTGCTCCAGAGCCCCACCTCTCTGCCCCAAAGCCCCACCCCCCTACTCCAGAGCCCCGCCCCGGACCTCTGCTCTGGCCACAGCAGCCCTGCCCTTCCCCCAGAGCCCTCACCCCTCTTTGCCCTGAGGAGTACAATCCCCTCTGCCCTAGGCAGTCAGGAGACCCTGTCCCCCGGGGCCTGGGTTTCCCCTCTGCCTCGGGGACCCATGGGGCTGGCACCTCCAGTACTCCTCGCTGGGGCTGGTGCGCTTGAGCGTGTGGTTGAGGAGCTGGGTGAGGTTGAGGGGTGGTGCGGCAGAGCCGTTGGTGGCGTCCAGCACCCCGGAGCAGTCGGGGGTGTTCCAGGGGTTGGTGCAGTAGGTCCAGGGCAGCACCCGTGTCATGGAGGAGAAGAAGTAGTAGAAGGCGAGGCAGATCACCACATTGTAGTAGATGCCAATGTACGTGGAGACCACCATCATCCCATAGCCCACGCCTGGGGGGACAGGCAGCACATGAGGGGAGGGGCAGGCCTGGGGGGGACGAGCGTGTACGTGCAAGTGTGTAACAGGAGTGAGGGTTGGGTGAGTGTGCAAAAAGAGTGGGGCCGTACCAGAGCAAGTGGGTGTGTGCAAGTAAGTGTGCAACAAGTGTGTTCACATACAAGTGTGTGTGCATACAGGACAAATCACACAAACATGTGTGTGCATGTGCATGTACAAAAGTATGTCTAAGAGCACGTGTGAACATACAGGTGAGTATGCAATGAGGCTTTTCAGAGATGAGCGTGTTTGTGTATAGCAGGGAATGCGTGAGTGTGTGCATGTAAGTGGACAAGCTGGATGTGTTTACAGGGACAAGTGTGTAAGGAAGTGTACACATGAGTGTGCAATAAGAGTGTATGCACAGGTGAGTGTGCAGGTTGAGTGTACAGGAGCAAGCGTGCCAAAGTGTCTGCAGCCTGTGATGTTGGTGCATGAGAGGGAACGCATGCATACGGAGGTGGTGTAGGAAAGCAAGAAGGAGCGTGAATGGGTGTGTACAAACCTGAGAGTGTGCTCCCTAGAGTATCTATGGGCAGGTACATGAGCATGAGCAGGGCTGGGCATGAGCGTGCACAGGGTCAGGTGTGAGTGTGCACTGGGGCAGGTGTGAGTGTGCGCTGGGGGGCATGAGCATGCACAGGGCTGGGCATGAGTGTGTGCAGGGCCAGGTGTGAGCGTGCGCTGGGGGATGTGAGTGTGCACAGGGTGGGCATGAGCGTGCAGAGGTGGGGTGTGAGCGGTCCTAAGCATGCACAGGTTGGGTGTGAGCGTGCGCAGGGCCTGGTGTGAATGTGTGCAGGGAGGGTGTGAGCGTGCATTGGGGGTGTGTGAGAGCATGCAAAGGGCAGGTGTGAGTGTGCATACAATGGACATAAGTGTGCACAGGCCAGGTGTGAGAGTGGGCGGTGGAGGCGTAAGCGTGCACTGGGTGGGCGTGAGCATGTGCTGTGGGGGCATGACCATGAGCTGGGCCAGGCGTGAGCGTGCGCTGGGCTGGGCATGAGTGTGCACTGGGCGGGCGTGAGTGTGCGCTGGGCTGGGGGTGAGCGTGCGCTGTGGGGGTGTGAGTGTGCGCTGGGCCGGGCATGAGCGTGCGCTGGGCCGGGTGTGAGCGTGCGCTGTGGGGGCGTGAGCGTGCGCTGTGGGGGCGTGAGCGAGCACTGGGCAGGCTTGAGCGTGCGCTGGGCCAGGCATGAGCGTGCGCTGTGGGGGCGTGAGTGTGCGCTGCGTGAGCGTGTGCTGGGACAGGCGTGAGCATGCGCTGTGGGGGCGTGAGTGTGCGCTGCGTGAGCGTGCGCTGGGACAGGCGTGAGCATGCGCTGTGGGGGCGTGAGTGTGCGC